GCTTTACTCATAAGTTCCATTAAAGCCATTCAGGAAGCAGAAGAGCCTAGGTGGACCACATTCCTCCACCATCTGAGAAAAGCATCACTGTGCCAAGGGCTCAGGTTCAGAAACCACCAGGTGGAGTTGGGGAGAAAGGAGGGCATGACCAGCTACCGCCAGCCACCAGCTGACGTCCAAGACTCCAGCAGCCATCAGCACGGCCATGCCACCTCTAGCACCTGTGGAAAAGCCTCCCTGGGCCATTCTCCCCACCATTAGAGGTTCTGAGCACTGCTGAGCTTTTCTGAAATGTCATGACTATCAGAAAATTTCAGAACCAAAAAAATCCTAAAGAAAAAAAAATACCTTTCCCTTTGTTTTAAAAGGTGTCGACATTCTTTTCTGACTTGTGCAATTTGTTCCTTTCAAAGTTCCCACGAGAAGGTACAGTAAGAATAGTCTTTCTCAGTTTTCAGTAAGGAAAGAAAAGGTGGGCAAGGTGGAGGTGGACAGTTCAGCCTCGGCCATCAACCAGCTCTAGGATTCTCACCTCCAGGGCTGAGCTCATGAGCCCAACACCTGGGCTTCTCCCCTCAGTGTCACCAACTGTGTCATTAACACCTCTCACTCCCCTTAACGGCTTCCAAAATGCTTACCACAGCTCAGTTGTGTATTTTCCATGTGATTCTGTTTAACGACACTCATCCTAGAAGGCATGGATTATAGGGAGCAATCCTACAGCTTAGGACCCCAGCATCTACCTTGCGTGGACAAAGGAATGGGCTGGCATGACACCTGCTTCTCTTGATACTGATGACCTCACATGTCTGCTTTCAGACCTTCCCTGGAAATGGCCCTCTCCGTGGACTCATCTTGGCCCAGGTGGCGGTGGCAAGTCCCAGACGGCTTCCCGGGGTCTCCATCAGAGACCACGGCACTGCTCCCTCCAGAGAGGGGGAGGCAGAACCCCAGCCTGCCGCAGCAGCGGGTTGTGGTCCCCAACAACAGCCTTTGCCACCAGGATTGGGAAAAGGTCTCCAGGAGATACTCGGGCAACAGAATCTGCACGACCAAGTACAGCCTCCTCACCTTCCTGCCCCGGAATCTCTGTGAGCAGTTTCACAGGTACACAGCCACTTATCCAAAGAGCACCTGTTTTAACCAGGTGTTTGCCCCTGAGATGAACTTAGATGCTGCTTTCTGGGGCCACCTCTCCTTGAATACCCTAATGCAGGTGCCTAGAGAAGATTTCTCCATGTTGAGCACTTTTGAGGTACATGAGAAAAAAAAGAGACCAAACTCATGAGTGTATTCTCTAGTGAAAGAGACACTAATTTCTAAGTTATGTAACAAAATAAAATTACCACTAGAATAAATTACTTTCCAAGAGAGGTATATGGTGATATTTGAGGGAAATTGGACCTAGTTAAGGATCAGAAGAAACTCCCCTGAGGAAGTCGCAATTGAAATGTAAGCTGAAAGGGAGAAAATGTATTAACTGAGTGAAAAGAAGCAGGCAGAAGTCGGGGAAGGGAGCAGAAGAGTGTTTCAGCAAATAGACCTGCACATGCAAAGGCACTGTGGGAAGAGGACATAGGATGTGCCTGAAAACTTTGCAAACGTAAGCCACTCTTCTGAGATAAGGTATGAAAAATCATTGCTGGTTAAAAATCAAAAGGTGGTCTTGGGAATCATCCTAAATTTTATAATTATTATAAACTGCCATTTGTTGACCAACTACTATGCTCTGGGGCACTCTACTATATATCCTAAAAAAAAAAAATATTTTACTATGTAACACTTATAAGAGCTTTCTAAAGTCAGTAGTGCTCTCCCCACAGTACATAAGCCAAAACAAGCTCAGGTGGTCAATCAACCAGTAAACAATAGGAATAGCATTTATATCTAGATCAGCTGGCTTCAAAGCCCTACCACAACATCTGAGATGACATGGAAAGTAGAGGTCATTTCTGTCCATCCGGGCCAAGAGTAGGAAGAAACAGGAAAGGGAGCAGATTTTCCTCTGCAGCCTTCACTCACACCTGGCTTGCCCCTTGCAGAGGGGCCAACCTCTACTTCCTGTTCCTGGTGATTCTGAACTGGGTGCCCTCCCTGGAGGTCTTCCACAGAGAGATCACCATGCTCCCCCTGGCCATCGTGCTGCTCATCATCATGGTCAAGGATGGCATGGAGGACCTCGAGAGACACCGCTTTGATAGAGAGATAAACCACTCCAGCGTCAGAATATATGAAGGGTAAGGGAAACTTGCTTCTGTTTTTCTCCCTTGCAATTGGGTTATACAAACTCCCCAGTAGGTTCCAAGAATTGGTCTCTTTCCCTACGTGATATTTTCTTTTAATTCATTTAATTCAGTGATTCTCAAGAGGAGGCAATTGAACCCCCCAGGTAGCTTTTGTTATTGGGAAATATTTGGGGCTGTCATACTGGGAGGGAGAGAACTACTGGGATCTATCGAAAAGAATCAGAGGGTGCCGGTGAGTACCCTATAATACCCAGGGCAACCCCCGCACACAGTGAAAAATCATTATCTGGTCAAAAATGTCAACAATGCTAAAGTTGAGAAAACTTAATGTAACTTGGAAAAGCACAAGTGGTTGCATTATTAAGAGTTGAGGGGGAGCTGGGGTTGTGGCTCAGAGGTAGAGCACTTGCTTCACACGTGTGAGGCACTGGGTTCGATCCTCAGCACCACATGAAAACAAAGACATTGAGTTCATCCACAATTTAAGAAAAAAAAAAAAAAGAGCGGGTTGGAAACCAAAAGTTTAAACTCAGTGAAGATAGGATCATCTCAGGAGACAGTTCAGGAGAAACCCTTCGGAAGGTGTTGGGTAATTTCTCCCAACCAAGAAAATGCCATCTCTAAAGGCTCAGAATAAAACTGTTTGCTTTTAGAATTGAACAGGTAGGTTTTAGGACCCAGAGCCAGTGCACCTGTTGCTGGCTGCTGTGGATGAAATAGGAAGACACCTGCTGGTGACGTCCACATTCCAACAGGTGGAGTTTCCAGGAGTAGAAGGAAGTGGCCTGCTGGGTACACACCCATTCCCTGAAGGCTCCTGGCTTGTCCTGGCTCTCTCCTGGCTGGTTATTTTGAGTCTTCCTTTCTAAAAGAAGAGGAGAAGTTCTCAGCCGAGCAGGCCAGTGGATGGAATTATGAGGATTGGAGAGGCAGGGCGGCGCGGAGATGAGAAAGGAGGGGAGGAAAAGGCGGAAGAGGAAAGACGACAAGAGGCGTGTGGTGGTCTCCAACCTGCCCTTTGAAGGATGGTCGCTCAGGGAGAACCCCAACCAACAGTACTGTGGGAACCAGATCAAGACCAGCAAGTACACGGCGCTGTCCTTCATCCCCAAGAACGTCTTTGAGCAGCTGCACCGGTTTGCCAACCTCTACTTTGTGGGCATCGTGATTCTGAATTTCATCCCAGTGGTCAGTGCTTTTCAGCCTGGGTTGAGCGTGATTCCAGTCTGCGTCATCCTAGCGGTCACTGCCATCAAAGATGCTTGGGAGGACCTCCGCAGGTACCAGTCGGATAAAGTGATCAATAACCAAGAGTGCTTCGTCTACAGCAGGTAAAGCAAACAACCCGGGAGGTCCTGCCGGCCCCCCCGTGTGATCCTTGAGAGTTGGGGGCTGGGGTTGTGGCTTCTGCCACTCCAGCTGGGGCCAGTAGAAGGGGAGCTCTCGTTGGATCTCAGTGCTCAGTTCCCTAGAGTGAGGATTATAGTCTGAAACCCAAAGAGGGCAAGTCAGTCGGAGGTCTTCATTATGGAGCATTTTCCTAACTGTTTTCAAATTGATCCAACGTTTAAGAATTCTGTGTGAATTGTAGCTCCTTTTTCATCTGGTGTGGCCATAGGCCCATTTGACTGTGTCTGGGGACCTTGAAAGGAGGAACTCTGACTTTTCCTAAGGGAAGTAGTCCTCAAAAAGCCTTGTGTTAGGAGAACCAGGATCAGAGAACACTGCCTGGGCTGAACGCTACCTACATGACTTTTTTAATGCAAGAAAGGTGACCTCTCCTAGCCTCGATTTTCCACTTGTAAAATTGGAGTCATTCTTTTGGTCGTCATAGGAGTTGCACAAGATAATCTCTAGAGAAAGTGCTTAGCATTATGCCTGACCTGACATGTAATAAATGATCAATAAGTGCAAGTTGCAGTTATAGTTAGAATGTGCAATTTGTATTTCCCCCAGCACTAAAACTGTCCTTGAATGTCCTTTCTGATGTTTCCTGACAGAGATTGCAGGTCACCTTCTGGCCACATGATTTAGTGTCACTTGCTACACATTGCTGTTTTACAAAGCTTCTATTGGGCGAGGGACCACCTTGGGCTAGGAGGATAAGAGAGACTCCTGATGGGCAAGGGAAGGAGGCAGAGTTAGAGCGAGTCAGGACTTCATGACCACCTACGTGGCTCTCAAAGAAGTGTGGGAGTTGCACCTGGGCTTGCTAAGAGACAGGGTACATGTGCACCAGCAGTCAGCAGCCTCAGATGATTGACTGGCCAGCAGAGGAGGGCTCAGCTCCTTGCAGAGAGGGAAAGCACCCACCTCTCCCAAGAGCAGCTTGAGTCTCTCTCACTGCCTCTGACGGGATCAACCCCTTTCAGGAGAAAGGGCACAGCTGCTGGCCCCTGCTGGGATGATGGGACCAGCTCCTGGGGGCTGTGCGCTCCAGCCAGGAATTGCCACTAACCCTCAAGGGGGGTTCTCTTCCCCAGGAGGATGAAGTGGCCAGCTCAGAGCTGGCTGGCCAAAGGGTGGATGAGAGAAACTCCCCTCGGAAAGCTGTAGCTGGGGAAGCCTCCCAGGAGGGGATCTAGTACAGGGACTTGTTCGTCACCAAAGAACCCCTAAGTGAAATCCCACCCTCATCTGTGAGCGTCAAGTGAGCTTCTGCCTCTTTACTAGATGGACCTCAATTCCATGTGCAGAAAAACTAAGCTGAGGGGTTTGGGTTTTTTTTTTTTTAAATTTTAATGTTTTTAGTTGTTGATGGGCCTTTATTTGTTTATATGTGGTGCTGAGGATGGAACCCAGGGCCTCACACATGCTAGACAAGCGCTCTAACACTGAGCCACAACCCCAGCCCCATAATCGGAGGGTTTTAATTCTTTTTCCAACCAAACCTAATTGTTTTGCATGTTGGGAGCACACTGATCACCTAGAAATGAGAAGCACATGTCCCTTTCCTGTGAGTGAGGACAGTGTAAAAAGAGGAAAATTAACATCCGGCTGCGAGGCTTTTGTTGGAAGCAGCAGATTTTAAGATGCATTATTTTTCTTTGGGCACCAGTCCACCTGGGACCTCTCTCCGGTCATTTTTTTCCCCCAGGAAGTTGGCTCCTTGGTGTGAACCAAGAAGCTGGTTCCTTAGGGAGGAAAGTGAGTGGGCTGCAGAGAGCCTGGTCCTGTTCTCCTTGCTCTGCCAGAATGTCTCAGAATAATGAGCCTCTTCTTGGGGATAGTCTCATGCTCACCTGTGCTAGGAGCTGGACCCACCTGGGCCAGCCTGCTATTATTCTGTTCTCAAAACAGCTTTCAGGGAACATCAGAAAAACAGGATGATAAAAATCTCAGGAGGAAAGAAAAGACATTAGTCCAACAGCTCTGTATGAGGAGGGAACAGCAAGGGTCCTGAGGGCAGTATTCAGTAAAATAATAGTGGCAGAGATGGTCTCTGCAAAGATGTCCATAGCCAAAAAAAATGGATGCTGGCCCTCACGCCCTGCAGATGAAGAAAAGACCCACAAGTAAAGAATCTGTTCCCTCTCTGTTTAACTCAGGGTTGCTCCAAACTGACTGGACTTTGGACCTATTTCTTCATATCTAACTTTGGGTAATTTAACTTTCTCAGTTATAACAAGATTAATGACTACAAGGGCAAATAGGGAATTAAATAAGATGGACTAGTTATAAAAAGTAAAGCAATATTCCTCCTGTCCTGGTACCACAGATGGCATCTGTGTTGGGAGGTAACAGGGAACAGTGGGGACTGCAGATCACTGGAAGCCAAGAATTCATCCCAGGAAGCAGAGCTGGCCTTCAGCCAGCCCGGATCTCGTCAGGGGAAAAGAGAGGCGTAGTGTTGCCAGATTATCTGAGCTTTATGCAGGGAGCTAGAAACTGATATTTTTGTCTGAAATACCTGATTGTTCAGTGTTGGCAACTGATACTTCAAACACTGCAGATCCATTTTATGAGACCTAATGTTCTATTATTCTGCCTATGGAACCCATAATTTGCAACCTATTCCAGTAAACTGGAGTTTCTGCGAAAGAACCATCCCACTCCTGAGGTTCATCAATGAAGAAGGCTCTTTAGACACAGAAGAAGGGCTTGATGTTAAGGTGAGAAGCAGACCTGGGAGTCAGGGGCCTGTACTCTGGCATGGATTGGCAATCCTAATAGCCAGGAAGCTCACCTACATCTCTGGATCTCAGTCTCCATTCTTGTAAAACTTGGTAGTCACACTAGATCCGTTCCTTTGAGACGCATTATGAAAGAAGAGAACCCACAGCCAATTTAATTGGGTTAATAGTACACGCGTGATGCTTGAGTCTTGATGCACATTAATATGAAAAGGTTCTGACCACCCGAAGTATTCGGCCCAGTTTTGTTTAACTCAGCTGTGTCCGTTGAGATGTTCCCCCCTGCAAGTAGCAGAAACATCAATTCAGATTTAAGCAAAATATTTGTTGACTTAGGTTACTACAGAAGTCCTGAGGTATGCAAGCAGTCGGCATGGCTCCTTCAGCAATCCAGATCCAGTCTCTGCCGTCCTTTTCATTCAGTCTCCTTCTATGTCCTCTTCACCCTCTGGCTTGCTTCAAGGCAGTGAGATGGCTACAGCAGGGCCAGCCCTCACAACATGTGGTAACCCAGGAAGGAAGGAAAGATACTTCTGATGACCCTCTTAGAAGGTCGAGGAAGCTTCCTTCATAAACCTGCCTCATCTCTCAGTGACCCCCATGGGTCCTATGCCCACCCATGATCTAACCCTTAGGGAAAGGAGCTGGGAGTGGGGAAATGAGGTGCCTCCGGAGCCACAGCGCTTCTCCCCAGCACCCAGCATGAGGTAAAACCCAAGTGAAAAGAGAAGAAATGATTTCTAAGAAAAAGGGGACAGATGTTGTGGGGCTCACCTCTATGTCCTCTCCACTGTCACTTTAAAGTGGTTTTTGAATGTAGATTCTTTACAAATTGCTTTTCACCGATGAACAGGAACC